CAGCTCTGCTTTGTTTACAGCGGTAACCAAGAAAACAGTATTATTGCTGTTCTTAAGCGCCACCTGCTGGCAGAGAGTGAATCTGCATCTCATTCAGCTCATCTGCTGTTTCATTCAGATATGCTTTATGTAGTATAGTTTTTTGCTTCAGACTAAGTCTAATTTAGATTAAAAACTTGCTCATGCTGCATCTTTGTTTGGATCATGATTAAAATGCAGTGGTTTCCTCTAATTTTAAATGGAAAGAGCACAGACAACACCTTAGTTTGTTTATATGAAGATATTTATTTTATTTGTGTAACTTGCTTATTTGATTTGGGGTTTGTTTTAAAATGTCAATTCAGTTTTGTTATATTTCACTTTCACAAAGAAACGTGCAACAATAGCCTAATAAAACGACACCTTCTCATTTGCTATTTTCAGCCAAATAATGTTGGTTGCCTAACATTGGGTGCATCCCTAGTGTGAACCACAGTGATAACTGATCATGCGTGTGTGTGCGTTTGATCTTCAGTAACAGCTGGCCTTGAGTGATCAGACGGTAACAGCAGCGTTAGTAATGCAGGATGATTGTGAGCTGCTCATGTGATTGTGCAGGTGCGCTGCGCTTCATGAGGAGAATCATCGGCCTGAAGGACGAGTATTACAACCGCTACATCGTGAAAGGAAACCTGTTCGAGCCGGTCATCAATGCGCTGCTGGACAACGGCACCAGATACAACCTGCTGAACTCGGCCATCATCGAGCTCTTCGAGTTCATCAGAGTGGTGAGTGCAGTCTCCTCTGACCCGCTAGGACTGCGAATCCAAAATCACTTCCAATTCCAGAATGGGATACTTAAGGTCAGGAACCGGACACTTGTTGTGAAATTTAAATTTAAATTCCACCTCTCAATTCCAGTGTGCGCATCTTTTATTTTTAGGTGGTGGAAAGGAGCTGTTAAAAATGTATTTGTCTTGGGATCATTCATTCAAAAACACGCATTCATCCAGTAATGAAACGAGTAAATGTTGAGTGAGCCATTAGCTGCGTCCCAAATGACGCACTATGCACTTGGTACTTATGCACTATGTACTCAACCATGGTGTGTATGAATTATATAAGGTTATTCTGTCATTCATAAACGAGTCTGATAGCCCCTCCCCTTCACTACGTAATTAAAGCTGCGACAGTTGAGTGCATGAAGTGTCCAACATTCCACACTTCGTTTGTTCGGTTATTTAAGTGCATCATCCGGGTATTTAAAGTGCACTTTTTCTTTGTGAAATGTTCAGTGTGAACGCACTACTCGCACTATTTATATTACAAAACGTCATAGAATAGTGCATAAGTACGCGATTTGGGACACACCAATTAAATCATTCCATGAGATTTAGTTTACTTCTCTACACAGAGTACACAGAGGGAGAATAACAGAAATAGAGGAAGAGAGTACGGTTCACTGCGGTTATGTGATTATGTCGTGTTAGATAGCATCGCTTTATAAGTACTGTACCTTAATGTAAATGATTCACCAGGGCTTTTGTTAAAGAGTCAAAGCAGCAGTAAAGATAACACTTGTAACGTCATTTACAGTTATAAACTGGCTGTTTGTTAAGCTCTCCGGGAGTCTGAAGTAGATGTTAGTCTGAGAGAACATCAGCAAACACAGAGACACTGAGGGAAATAACGCTGACAGCTGCGTGTGAAGAGCTGTAGCAGCGCAGACTAACGGCTGAACTCCATCAATAGATCAATAACTTCCTCTGGTCCTCAGCACTTCCTGTAACGGCCAGCGGACCGAGGGGAAGCTGGATAAGTGCTTTACTCACAGCTCCTGCCGCAGGCGTCTGATCCTGGCTTTAGCATCGGCCAGCTCCACCGACAGATGCTGCACGCTCTCCGTGCGTCTCATGCTCGACTCACCGGGCGATGGAGCGGAGTGCAGAGAGCTGAGCCCACTGTCCCTCTCCAGAGTCCTGCTCCGCCCCTCTGACTCCATCAGGCCTCTGATTGGCTGTTCAGTCTGTCACTCAGGAACACAGAACACAAAGTGCATCCAAATTCACATACTTATTAGGGTTGCACGATATTGGAAAAAACTCACATTGCAATATTTTATTTTTCTGCAATATATATTGCGATATGAAAAAAAAAATCACCTTCACCACATGACTTGAATAGTTTAGTTGGAAAAAATAATCAATGATTGAGGTGATTTTGTAGGCGAGTAAATCATCATAGGAAATAAACTAATTACAAGCATAGATAAATAACAGAACAAAGATACAAATGAAATAAGCAGTGCTTTATATTTTTCTGGTAAGTATAGCAGTATTTAGGTACAGAAATTGAATAATCAAATGTAAAATAAGACTGCATAGTCTTCACTGTATAAATTAAATTAACACATCTGTGTTATATTTTTCTTTGTGTTTTGTTGTTTGATTACCGTTCATGACAGAGAAAGCAACAGGAACATTAAACTGTTGTGAACCAATATACTGTTACACATCCATTTTCTTTCTCAATTTTTTACCCTCACCTAAGCCATAAGCAACTGTGTTTACAAGGATACTTGCAGAGTACAGTATTTCAGGCACAAAGAGACGCAGAAGGGAACAGAAATCATTGTTCCCGTGCATCTGCGTGGCTCACACTGTGTCTACACCAGACGCGAGCGGCACGGTGCGACGCGACAAAATACAATAGAGCCCATTTTAATCAGTGATGCTGTGTGACTGACTACACTGGATGCGGTGCGGCACGACAAATCCCCGACAGTAAACTGATGCTCGTTCTACTTATGATGTACTGACACAAAGTTCAAATGATATGTAACGGTCGCTTTGTCGCGTCCAGTGTAGACAGACTTTGGGGCCGTTCACATGGCGTGCCTAAAAACGTGTGGAAAACACCAGCCGTGCAGCTTTCTCCTTCTTTCCAAAGAGCTCGGGAGCTTGCGCGTTCGTGGCGTCTGCCGTTGCTAAGCGACTGTGACCTGCGCTCTCCGCGACGATGCGGAAGTTTCAACAAAGGATAAATGGATTTCCAGCACTGAAAATCCCTTGCAGTAGCTCTGCTACTAAATGTATTTAAAATGGGTATCTCTGTACAGCTGTCGCGTCCAGTGTAGACACCGTGTCTGTGTGTGAGCAAAGAAAACAATCAGTATAAATATAACAATTAGTATACTAAACATCGCACATCCTGCGATGTGACTATCGCGGATGCGCACATTGCGATATCGATGTTGAAACGATATATCGTGCAGCCCTAGTGTGTGTGCACGTGTGTGAGATGTGTGTGTGTGTGTGTGTGTGAGAGTGTGTGTGTGTGTGATTGTGAGAGTGTGTGTGTGTGTGTGTGATTGTGAGAGTGAGTGTGTGATTGTGAGAGTGTGTGTGTGTGTATGATTGTGTGTGTGATTGTGTGAGTGTGTGTGTGTAAGAGTGTGTGTGTGTGTCTGATTGTGAGAGTGTGTGTGTGTGTGTAAGAGTGTGTGTGTGTGTGAGTGTGTGTATGTGTGTGTGTGTGTGTGTGTGTGAGTGTGTG